GAGTTGCCTCCTTGTGGGTGGCGGCCGGTGTCTGAGTTGCCTCCTTGTGGGTGGCGGCCGGTGTCTGAGTTGCCTCCTTGTGGGTGGCGGCCGGTATCTGAGTTGCCTCCTTGTGGATGGCGGCAGGTGTCTGAGTTACCTCCTTGTGGATGGTGGCCGGTGTCTGAGTTGCCTCCTTGTGGATGGTGGCTTCTGTCTGAGTTGCTTCCTTGTGGATGGTGGCTTCCGTCTGAGTTGCCTGAAGTCAGCACTCTCTTCCCTCACTCTTCTCCCCCCACATCCTTAGCCCCACTGCACTGTCCCTGGGCTCTTTCTACCATCCTTTTCTTAGGAGCTAACTGAAGATCCTGAGAGTAGATCCACAAAGTCACTGTGTCCTGTTCACTCACCTAATCCTCATCTGGAACCTTCTACTGCAACTATAGCCAACCTGCAACCACTCCTGTGAGCTGTAAATGTCCTTACACATGGTGGGAGGAGGCAGGGGAGATAATGAGTAAAGGTCTTGAGTTTTCTGAGGCTAGCTGCAGTAGAAGAATCCTGTGGAGCATTCTAGCAGCCAGTTAAGATTTCCTACTTACAGTGTCCTGGTGTGTGGCGCTGTGGGCTAATGTGCTGGACTGCAAAGTTGGCTTGAACTGCAAGGTTGGTGGTTCAAGCTCACCAGCTGCTCCTTGGAAACCCTGTACAGGGTCATTATGGGCAGGAACCAACTTGACATCACAAGAGCTTACAGTATTAGATTCTCTGGCCCTCCTCAGTGGACATACACAGTGTACCACCACCAGTGATGCACACCCCAAGGCCCTAGGATATACTTAGAAGTGAGAGTTTAGAATTGAAAATGAATTCCTAAGGAAAAAAACTATTGTGAATGTTTTGTTGAGAAAAACAGTTGCGTTGTATCAGGATAGTGTGTTGGATAATAATGTCCTTACCCTTTTCTATTGTTAAGGGATATGTGAACTTCAGAGAACTCAGGGGGAGGTAAAAATGACTTTTCTTGTCGTCAATCTTGCCTGACAAATTCCATTTACCTGATGGAACAAAGTAACGTATCTCTTGGTGCCGGAAGATAAGGAGCTGGGACTGTACATCTGGATGAGATCACATATTTACTCCTTCTATCAGCCTCACGCCTCACTGCCCTCAAGGGTAGTTGGACGTTGGAAATGTAGCACTGGCTTAGACTAAACCCATCATCCTCCCTGACTTGGAGAAATCTGTTACTAAACCTCTGCTAAAAGGCTGTAACCGTGTAGACATGGAGGCTGGGTAGCCAGTGAAGTTCAACCCCCTGAACTGAGGTCCAGTCAGGAAAATCCTTCAGCTCTTCAGCCTCTCTCTCTGTCTGCACACTGCTGGCACGTGCCCTATGTTCCCCATCACCTAACTAAAGCTACGGTGGATCAGAGTAGAATTGTCGCCTTCCATGCAGGAAACCAGGAGTCCTGGTGGAGTAACGGGTTACACATTGGGCTGCTAGCCACAAGGTCAGTAGTTTGAACCCAACAGCCACTCCTCAGAAGAAAGAGGAGGCTTTTTGATCCTGTAAAGATTTACAGCCTTGGAAACCCTATACAGGGTCAATAGGAGTAGGAACCAACTCAATGGCAGTGGTTTGGTTTTTGGCTTTATTCAGGAGACCAAGATTGATTCCTGGCCACTGTCCCTCATGAGCAGCACATGTGTCTGTTGGTAGGGGCTTGCTAGGATGCTGAATAGGTTTGGCTCAGAAGAAAGGCCTGGTGATCTCCTTCCATGAGTCAACAAAAGAAGCCTGGAGATCACAATGGTCCATTCAGCAACTGAGCATTCCCAAGGATAGAACAGGACCGGGCATTTCATTCTGTTGTGCATGTAGCCAATTCAAGGACAGCTCACAACAACGATCACAATTAAAGCTATGAAAATGATTTCCCTGCCTTCTAAAACCCAGAGAGCACACAAAAGCATAGCTGGTTTGGGGACTGGTGTGAAGCCGCACTGATGTTATTAGAATGACCTAGGTCAGTGCTTAGATCTCATAGGCTGCTCTATCATTAAAGCATCCAATGCAAAGTCACTTAAATCCTCTTCTGAATCCTGTTGGCTGTGAAGGTCTCCATCATTTGCATTTTTAAAGATACTTTGCAATGAGATCAAGTGCACAGATTGGGTGGAGGGGTGAGAAGTGTCTCAGTGTCCAACAGTGTCTCACTTAACAAGTGAGGTGGGTGAAGGGTCGTTCTGAAATGGCCCCTCTGAGGGACAGTTGCCACCCAGTTCTGCCAGCTCTCACCTGACAGAATTAGCATTCAGTGTCCCTAGATATTTTAATATTTCAGAAGAATGTGGAAATAGATTTTATATTGAAATAGCTCTATTTTTAAATGTTGGGGAGTAATTTAAAAATGATTTAATGGGTACTGAGGAGTCCTGGTGTGGCTCTGTAGGATAAGCACTGCACTGCTAATTGCAAGGTTGACGGTTCAAACCCACCAGTCTCCTCGGAAACCCTATACAGGGTCTCTATGAGTGGGAACAACGACACCAAGGATCCCTAGTGGCATAGTAGGTTATATGTTGAGTTGCTAACCACAAGGTCAGCAGTTCGAATCCATCAGCAGCTCCATGGGTTAAAGAGGGAACTTTCTACTCCCATATAGATTTACAGCCTTGGAAATCCAGCATAGGGTCGTTGTGACTTGAAATCAGCTTACTGACTGTGGGTTTGTTGTGGGGTTTATGTGGGCCAAAAGGAGCCTTGGTGGCATTGTAAGCTACGCATTGGACCGCTTACTACAAGCTCAGTGTTCAAACCCACCAGCCGCTCCATGGGAGAGAGATGAGGTTGTCTGCTCCCATAAAGACTTACAGTCTCAGACTGGTAAGGAGCAGGTCTGCTCTGCCTTAGATATGGCAGTGAGTTTGGTGCATTTGGCTATGCAGGCCAAACAACACCGCTGCAAGCCCCGCCTCACATTGTTCCTTCTCTGTAGTGCCATCTGCTGGCCATTTGGAACTTGTGCTTCATCACTGGACCTGTACAGGAAAATTAAATGTACAATTTGAATTTGGTTCTCTTATTTTCCTAGGGTTGCAGGTAGCAAAGTACCACATCAAGAGTACTTAAGACAAAAATGCATCTTGCCACAGTTCTGAATGTGTTTAATGTGAATTTAAGGTATTAGTAGGGAAGGGTCTCTCTGAAGACTCTGGGGCACGATCCTCTTCATCTCCTCCAGCTTCTGATGGGGTCTAGCAGTCTTTGCATTCCTTAATTTGTAGCTGGTTACTGTCCCCCAGTTACTGTCTCCATCTTCACATGGCTGTGTCCCCTGTGTCTTTCATCTCTTTTTAGGAGGGCCCCTGTCCTACTACATTAGGTTCCACCCTATCTCATGAAAACTGGTAACATCTTCAAAGACCCTATTTACCAATAAGGTCACATTCACCTTGACAAGAATCAGGACTAGGACTTATACACACCTTAAACTGTAACAAGCAGTAGTACCTAACTGCTTTCCAAAGTGATCCTGTGTTAGTTTAGGAAAGCTTTAGTGTAAGTGCCACCGTTCCCCAGGTCATTTCAAAGGCTAGAAGAGAATTTGTCCGTAACTGTGACATCGCCCTGCTGATGCCCGGCACTGCTTAGCTGCTGACTGGGAGACTCTCCCTTCTCTTGCCACTCTTGGTAACCCTTGAACTGTTATGACTTGGTGTCAAATAGCTTTCTCAAACAAAGGAAGTCTTTGGTCAAGGTCTAGGAATGCTATCTTAACCACACATGTTCCTTTATTTCTCCAGAACACCTTAACTTTTTTTTTTTTTAACTTTCTGCCTATAAAGAGCAATAAATAAAAGAAGTTCACGTCTGTATAATTCGACAGAACAGACACACAGGGAAGGATAAAGCAAATTGTTTCCTAAGCTGGCGACTATTGTTTTCACCTCGGCGTTTATATTCTTTGTGCCCGTTCTTCTGTCCTCCCCCTCAAGCCTCTGTCTTTTCTGTCAGGGGAGTCTATTTAAGACAAAAACACTTTAAAATAATTAAGCTATCTTAGCAGCGTTTCTTCCCTCAGCATATGTATGATTATACACTAAGAATGAAGTGCAACCCCAAAGTGATTATAAGTCCAATAATGGAGCTATCATTAGAGATACACAAAACTCTCTAGAAGAGTCTCAAAAGAACAAAAATTGAATTATAAATTCAAATGTTCTTTGAACTGTTTTATAAAATAGTGAGACTGAATGAAACCCTTTGTGCTTGGCAGCCAACTTCCCTCGTTAGATAATTAAATCATAGGAAAACCCTAGACTATAGAACATATCCTATTTGAGCATTTCATTTGCAGATTGATGGATTATGCTCAAGATTAGAAATCTGAAGCAGACTTAGGAGGGAAGGCAGATCTAAACCACGCAAAAAGGGTGTCAAGGGAGGCAAAAGGGGTTTAAGCGCATCAAGAAAGTCATTCTAACCCTGTTCATGTCATTCTCTGCTCTCCAATTTCACGTGAAGTATCAGGCTAAGCCACCACCTGCCTGTCCCTTTGTCATACCGTGGTGGCTTGCATTTTGCTTAGTGCTGGAAGCTATCCACCAGTATTTCAGATTTCAGGTTTTGGTGGAGCTTACAGACTAAGACAGACTAGGAAGAAAAACCTGACAATCTACTTCCAAAAATTAGCCAGTGAAATACTGTATGGATCAC